CGAGTGGGACTAGTGTTTCGGGAGGAAGTGCAGGTGGTGTAGCTAGTGGTGAGCAAGGTAGTGGGGCCATATGGGAACTGGATATGGTGATTCGAATGGGAATGCGGGGATTTTGGAGGTCTGATGCTTCTTCTTAAGGTAATGCTCAAGGCTATGGGGTCCCTCAAGCCAATGGGCCTCCCAGTTCTTACGTTGGGTATGGTGGTGATGGACCGCAAACAAGGCAGGCTCAGCAACAGTGAGTGGAGGAGGCTCAACACGTTCCAACCCTCAAGCTCTTCATAGCTCACAAAGCCTTCTTTTGGCATTAGGTCAATGAGAGGAAACAAAAAAACAAGCCTCCTCATCACGTCATAAATATCGCTGGAATTTGCCCCAAATTTGCCGGAATTTCCCCCCACTTCCCCGGAATTTCCCCCCACTTCCTTGGATTTTTCCCCTTAAAAGCCTAAATGGCCGGAATTTTGCTAGGAATTGCCGAAAAAATGAGAATTTCAGCCAAAGCCTTCCTCTCATTCTAAGTCGAAGAAAGAGGGTAGGGTTCCTGTGGTCATCGGGAAATGAGCTGGCTATGGCCGGAAGTGGCCAGAGGTTTGCTGAAAAACGCGGTAATTTTTGGGGGTTGAGAGAGAGGGGTTTGGGAGGTTGATAGGGGGAGAGAGAAAGGGAATCATGTCAAGAGAGGAGGGGTTTAGAAAACAATGTCTTTTTTAAATTTGTTTTAGTCAAAAAAATTAGTAAAAAATAAAAAAAATATGTTTAGGGGGTTAGGAGATATAATAAAGTGAATATCTGTGTAGTCAGACAAGTTTTGCAACCTTAGGTCAATGGAGAAATGAAAATTGAAAATGGGTCCATGGAGGTATTTTCCCTTAAAACTTTCTTTGCTGATGGATTTTTGAGGTGTCTCCATAGCTATAAAGTAAGGTTGCAACCTTATATAAACTTTTATCTTCAAGGTGTGCCTTACTTTGATTGTTTAGGGCCTTTAATAGAAAACGTTTATATAAGATTGCAACCTTAAAATGTAAAATTACAGATGCACCTCAAAAATCTACGGAAATGTTGATTTAATGTTAAAAACCCTCTAATTGATCATCTCGACATCAAGATGTATGAATATGAAAAAAAAATAAAAAAAATTTGAGTCCCTCAAATAGTGCATCTTGCAACACATTATCTAGATCGTCCCTTTTCTAGATTTTCATATGTTTATAGATCTACTTGATTTTAACCATTTCTTTAGTTTAAACTTTTATAATTAGATTTGGAAATAGATTTTTTTACAACAAAATTACATGTTATGATAAAATTTGGAGGTGTGCCTTAATCGGATTGGTTAAGGTTGCAACCTTATAGACACCACACCCTTTCTTAATTAGCAGTTGAGTTCCTTTAACTTGAAAGGCTCAGCAAAACCCTAAGTCGAGACCTTCTCTTGTGCATCAATGGCGGATATAACGGGAAAGTTTTCTACTCCTATTTCAAATGGGGGAAAAGCTTCTTCGAAGTTCAGGTTGGTCTCATTTTTTCCCATCCACAATTGAAATGCGTGTTCTATTTTCGGGAAATCATTGCATCAATGGCTAGGATTCAAAAGGAGACCCCTTTTTTGGGGGGGGATGGGATGGGATTTTCTTGGATATTTGAATCTGGAAAATGCTTTTATTTTTTTGGAAATGTGAGCTCTCTTTGTTGTGATAGAACTTCTTTGGAATTTGTATCAGTTGCACGTTAATATTTGTTTTACCTTATGAAGAAAAAGAAAAGCTTGGTCTTTTTTTCTGAATCAGCTGGAGGTTAGTGGTGGTTTTTTTGCATGCAAGAATGAAAATGCATGCTTCCTTTTCGGGGAAAATACGACATTAAATGGATGCCCATCATGTTTGTTCTATCAAAAGACTCTCATTACAGTCCAATGTCCACCTAGCCCTGGCTCTGAAAAACTGCAACTTGATTAGGCTTTGAAATTTCAGGTTCAGTGTTTGTATTCGGTTTGGGAAAAACCAAAGCTTGAGGAGGTTTTTGGGTGAAATTTTCTGGGATTTCTGTTCAAATTTCAGATAGTTTAGACCAAATTTTCTCAAGACAGCGGATTTTTTTGTCTTTATTGCCCATACTCAGTAGGAATTATTGATGCATCTATTATTGACGTTGAACTCTTGGTTTCTTTCTGTTCATGCTATAATTATTTTTAGTTGTTTTCTTATTTTTTCATGATCTGAAGCTGGTAGAATCTTATCATTGATTTCATTCTAACAAAAAATATATCTAATTCGTTGTGCATTAAACTGGTTGATATTACATTGCTCTGTAATGTCACAATGTTTTGATTCTGTATAGGAAGCACTATCTAAACTACTTATAATATTTTATTTGAATTTTTGTTTTCTTTTTTTCTCTTTATCTCAGCATCAGCAAAAGGAAAGGCGACCGCAGCAAAAGGTTCGTATCCTTGGCTCTTGGTTTTCTAACGAATTTTCATTTCCATTTTTGGTGAATTTTTATTCTCTTTACCAATTTGAAATTCTAGTTGTGGGCACTCTTGTTTTGTTATGTTTTGATGGCTGTTTGTAGATGCAAATGTAGGGAAAGAAAATTGGGACAAGGCAGGAAAAGCGGTAAGGGCTGTTCGTGTCGTCACGAGAAGGTAATAAAAGTACACAAGTTGTGGAACTAAACCTTGAGCAAGGTTTTTGTCTCTTTTAATTGTCATCAACTTCTCTTTATCATTTTCTTTTCTCGTCTTTGTTGATTCATACCTTGGCCTCATGATCTCCAAACGTTTGGTTTTGAAATTTTTCTGTGATTTCTTATTTCCTTCACATGAAATGATGTCATTGATTATAGAGAATAAAGTATGGAAAATGAGATCAATATGGGTTTCCGTGAGAAATGGATGTGGCAAAGCGTCTCTTAGGAGGCGAGTTGCTTGAAAATGAAGTTACAGGAGCAAAAGTTGTTTGGTGACTACGAAATGAAACGATATGGATGCCTAATACATGCAATTTTCCATGACCAATGTGCTTTAATTCGGGAATTCTGGACGTGTATAGTTAGGGGAAATTTACACTAATATCTCTTATAATTGGCAAATTCCCTTGAGTAAGAAGTTTAAGTTCTTTATTTTTTGATTTTTTTTTGTTTTTTTCCTTTTACACTTTTTTCTTGAGGCTGAGAGATCAGTTTGGGGCTTGAATGAGGAACTGATTTTTTCGTGTCCAGGTCAGTTCGGAAATTGAATTTCGGAACTGGTCCTTCAGGTTAAAATAAATTATGAATGAAGGAGTGGCAAGTTCCAAACTGCCCTTTTTGCAGCTCCACAGTAGAGTACTACACTCCTCGCCAGCAGGAGCACATTTTATGCTTAGCCCTTTGAATAAAATACATTTTTTAATGAAGAATTTAAATTTTGTTATTTGAAAATAATCATTCAATGATTTTAAAGTGGATCCTAAAGTTTTAGTGAAAAAAATATATTTTACCTGAGGGAGTAAGTGTAGTGTGTTGTTTTAGGAGCACCTGTAACAAAAAAAAAAAATATAAGGTGTTGCTAGTTAGATGATGCCATCTCGTTAAATGCAGCCACCATTTTTCACCTAAAAACTTTGTTTTTTACAGGCGCTTTGTAGTCGCACACTGTATACATATTTGATTGGGTAAACTATACTTTTTTAATTTAAAAATCTTGGGGCTCACTTTAGAATCACCCAATCATCTTTCCGGTCCATAATTGTTCTCAAAGGTCTTCGTTTCTGTGTAGAAGCAAACTCTCCATATTTATGACCAGCCTTTCCTTTAGTGATCTTAAAACGAACATGACTTTTTCCATTGTAAATTTGTACGGAATCAACGAATTCCGGTGAAATAGAAGAAGATCTACGTGACCAAATTCTCCTGAATTTTTTTTGAGAAGAAAATTTTAAATTTTTGACAAGAAAGATATTTTATTTGAGGGATTGAGTGTATAATGTGCCCCCACAGGAGCACTCCATACAATTTGTTACGCTGGAATATACCAAGGGTGCCGAACTGCTCCACTTTTTTTTTTTCTTCTAGCGTGAAGCATTGGTTGGAAACTTCGGAACTTCAGGTTCTGAACTATCATAGTTATGCAAACATTAGTATAGAACTTCAAGTTCCAAACCAGCTCTCACGCGTAAAAAAGGAAGAATTCAATTTCTAAAGTATCGGTATTTTGGGAAAATAAAATAAAAGAAACAAAAATGGGTGTTAGGAACCTAACCAATACCCCTCAAAACCCTTGGGTGATGGAAACGTGAAAAGTTAGGCCCTTAACCCACTTAGGATCGTTACATACCACCACGCTTTGCAGTCGACGTCCTCGGCGGCTCTCACTCTATGGTGGCTGTCACTCTGTTCAGGTAGGCCTTTCAATAGGTAGTCCTTTCTATAGGTAGCCATTTCCTAGGATCGACGTCCTCGGCGGCTCTCACTCTGTAGCGGCTCGCACTCTAATATTATTCGGGTAGCCCTTTCCATAGGTAGCCATTTCCACAGGTAGCCCTTTCCTAGGATTTGAACTTGGGTTTCAGTGGTTGCTCTGATACCAATGTTCTGTACCTAACTAATACGCTGCAAAACCCTTGGGTGATAGAAACGCAAAAAGTTAGGTGCTTAATCCACCTAGGATCGTTACAAAGGGATACGGGTGTACATTATGATGAAAATGGGGGGACGCTTTTAATTCCTCAGATTATAGAGGATATTAGTGTAAATTTCCCATATAAACAGAGAAGAGTTTCGGTGGATACGATGCCTGCTATGGTGGCTCCAATGACTGCCAACTTTATTTTTCCAACCATGTATACTTCAAGCCCCAAGTCAACCCTGCTATGGGCTTTTCACTATACATTGAAATTCCCAAAGCTTCCTGGAGGACTTTGATTCTCTCTTATTAGACTCTCCTTCAGGAATAAATAAGATTCTCTCTTTTTGAAATTGTAACTTATTGTGGTTTCTATGTATGTTTATTGCAGAACTTCCAAGTGACTCAAGATGTCTGATGGACTGTGAGGCAGCCATTATGTTAGAGAGAATTGAAGAGCAGCTGCGGACATTATCTAATGATCCAGCAATCAAAATTCCTCAGTAAGACAACTTACAATTGGTGTGCTTATTTCAGTTTGTTATTATAGAAAATTCCCTTTATAATTTCAAGCAAACGCTAGTGCATGTTTGATGCTGAATGTTTGTAAGAAGCTTGTTTGTTTCAGATCTTTCAACCTAGGATTTAAGTATGCAAAGAGCTGCACCTATTATAAGAAACCTGAGTCTGTGAAACAAGTCCGAGAGTATCCTTACTTCTGATAAAGTTACTGTTGGTTGTTTATTAGTTTAGTATACTTGCATGGCTAGGCTTGGCATTTTATATGGCTAGTAGTCAACCATATTTTTTCCTCCTTCTCAAGACTGCGTTTCTGGATTATTCTTAGTCTTCATTGTGCATGATACATCTGTCGCTGTATTGTATTCTGAGTTTGTAATTGGAATCTTAACTTCAAGTTAGACTTCTTGGAAGATACCAGCTCTCAGATGTTGAGGTATGAAAATCATGTGTGTTTGGAGTCAAGTTGGAGCTTAAGTTAGTTCTTTTAAATACAATATTTTCTAACTCAATACTGTTTCCTGCAGTCATGTTTGATTGCTAATGCTCACCCAGAAATAGTTGAAGAAGTGTACTCTTTCGTTCCATCCTTTAAGTTGAATCTAGTACATTTCGAACTTTCCTTTTTATAGTCTGATTGGTAAAATACTGCTTTTCTAAATTGAACCAGGGTTGAGGCATCCCTTTATGTCTATTTTAATGGCTTGTTGCCCGCTTGATACATTTGCAACTTATTACTGGGTTTGCCCAACTTGGTGGTGATCCTACCAAGCAACAATCACACATTCTCAGAGTTAGATTGTAGGTGGATCCCGCCCCATATTGGGGGAACATGATTCCAATCCCTTAGGGATCGGTCAATAGAATCGCAGCAATGTTAGATATATCTTTAGGTAAAAACGTCTTAAAAGCATGTCAATCAAAAAAAGCAAAGTAATAATAAAGTTCCCAAATCATGTCCTATATAGTTTTCCAAAGGGAAAAGCTTAATGACAATTATCACCGATAATAGCCGGATTTATCATGAGAAAATCAATGGCCAATAATATCTCCAATTTTATCTTGAGAAAAAATGATCTACAATAACAATATATAGCATTTCAAAAATTAAGTTTCGAAAAAACTGAACTAAAAAATAGCCAATTTACTTAGTTGTATATCATATGGCTAAAAGGCATCTCAGAAGGGTGTGGTTTGTATAGGGCCTAGGCCCTAAACAATCATAGTTAGTAAGGTGAAAGTAATGTTGAAAGATGTTTCAATACTAGAAATCTTTATGATGGCTTGAAAATTATTTTCATCTCTAATTAAGAAATTTAAAGCTTCAAAAATAGGGCAGATCGGGCATATCTATGAAAATTTGAAAATATTGAAAATTAACGGTCCGAAAAAAGTACGACAAGATACACTATTTTCAAGACTTGAAATCCATTTTTCTCACGTCTATACATCTTAAGGTCGAGATGATCGATTTGAGGATTTTTGGGTATCAAAACATCCTCTTCTACTGAATATGTGATGTGCACCTTATTTGATTGTTTAGGGCCTCACCCTTACATAATTATTTTCCATCAAAATCCTATTTTTTATCATTTTTTGGAGGCTAAATTTTTGGAAGAAGTTTAAAGTTATCTCAAAATTTTGAAATTTGAAAAGTAATCATACCTAAGAGAACGCGTGAAAGTCTTATATAAATTTTTTTATGGGAAAGGTATACTTCCATCATCACCATCAAAAGCTTTTTTCCAACAATTTGGGGTCGGTTGGAAGGTATACTTCCATAAGAAATATTAGTATGCTATTTCAATATATTGAATTTCCAGTAAAATTTCAATAAATATCCGACAAAAAGACCAAGCTGATAATATCCCAATAAAAGTTTTCAATGATATTATCACAATAGCAATAATTTTCGCAATGGGGAAAAGAGATTCTTAAACCCCCCAAAAAAAAACAAAAAAAGAAAAAGAAAGTCTTATATGCATGTCAATCAAAAAAAAAGAAATATTGATGCAAATCCATGTATGTTATATTTCAACAGAAAAAGAAAGTTCTAAATATAATGGTTTCAAAATCCCATTTAATGATGGATGGTCGGTCCAAGGTTAGCAAATTTGGATGAATATCCTTGTCTCTCTTATATTTCTCTGTATCTTTACCTATATATTTATTGATTATTCTCTATTGACCTATGCTTTAGGGCATGTTTGGGTTGCCACTTCAGACCATTTTTAGAGGTTCAAACCATGGTTAAAATAAAAAGGCGGTTTAACAATATATGGCATTTGTGAATGCCCAATGTCGCATGACAATCGTATGGTTAGAGGGCCAAACCATGGATTGAAAAAAAAGAGATCTAACCCTCTTCTTCTTTTCATCCACAAAATGCACACAGTTTGGTGGTGGCTCTCTCTCTGTTCAGTCTCATACTCTCTTATCTCTCTAAGAACTTTCTCTCTCTAACACAACTCTCTCTCTGTCCCACAGCTCTTTCACTCTCTCTCCAATTCAGAGCCCTCTATCTCAGTCTCTCTCTAACCCAGAGCTCTCTGCAACCAATGCGCTCCTATCTCAGGGGCTCTTTCTTAATGGCGATTTGGAAACCACAAAAGCCCTTGGCCCTGCAATTTGAACCTCTTTCACGAATCCCATTGTTGAAGGTCACTAGATAGATCGAACTCTTCAGCTGTCCTAAAAAAGCCCTTGCTTTCTTATACATCTCTCAAATTTGGGGGTATTTTACAGGGCACATGCAAAATTGATCAGGAACAGGAATGGGTTCTTCCAGTGAAGTAGGCATGGTGCTTTTGTGGACAAATTTAGCAGAGTTTTTGGCTGAGGTCTGGGGTTGGGTGTCAAGAGAGGCTTCAAGCTTGGAAAAGACAATTCGGTGGTGGACTTGCATGGTTTTTACTTTTTCTCTTAGGAAATATGAAATCATTTATAGGAGATAGCAATTGATTTGACCCAAATTACTGCAGAAATAATTTAAAAGTTTGGGCAATTACATTTTAGCTGGATGAGAAAACCAAGTGCTTTGTTTTTAAAAGAAGTTTATTATTCCATATGGCCCCTGTGTTTTCCGAGAAGATAACATTTCCGAAGTTCAAACTAGAATGCAGTTGATAGTGAAGTTACAAAATTTGTGATCGTTTACGGAAGCGAGTAACAATAGCACTGGGGATCATGAGATGAAAATACTCTAAGGTGGTCTCTGAATAGTGGAGAATTTTGGCAAGCTGTACCGGCTTTCTGTACCCTTTGGTGGAGGGGATGCAATACAATAACGTGACTGATTTTGAATTGTGCCTGTGACCCTGTCCCAAAAAAATCAACCCTGCATAACTGTGATTTGTGAAATGTAAAATCTTATCCTTGAAATCAGAAAAGTTACTGGTGTATGGTTTAGATGTTTTTCTGGAAATATTTAAAGTACTCATTTTGCCAGTATAGCTCAGAACCAGAGTAAGTCCTGAGCCAAGGATCAGTCATTAAACTTTTTTATTTGCCAAATATTAAGTTAAACAACCCTTCCCTGATTATATTCAACGTATTTATTTTTGTCCATGTCAATCTTTTGCAACAAAACTAAACTCACCACTTTCTTATGTGAATCTTCTTGTCTGTTTTTCTTTAATCATAATTTTTTAATTGTTAACAGGCAAAGAAACATTTGAGTCGTGGATCAGTCAGTAAAATGTTGTCTGACCTTGCAGAGATAGAAAGTTCCCAACAGGGCTCCCTTCAAGATCCCTGGTAAAATAAAATCTTCCCATTTGTTGTGGTTTAAAAGTTATCTGCTATGTGGTTATGCTTGTCTGACTGACCTCACTTGGAAATATGGTGTATATTTACATTTAGCAGGATTCATCTTGTTTTCCAGCTAGGTTTATTGCTTTCTTCATTTTCACATGGGAGACTTGCACACTATGTCCGCATCATGCTGTGATTTTATGAGATTGCAAAAACCTAGTTGTTAGATGATGTTTTTTTAGATCTTAGACGGTGTTTTAAAATGCGGCCGCATCGCTGCATATGCGTCCGCATCAAGCGCTATGCGCTGCCCAGTGCCTTGCATATGCCCGCATATATGGTTTGGAGAGATGCGCACATCTCTCCGCATTGAACGCATCGGGCCACATAATCTGTCGGCCAATTTTTTAGATATTGAACCCCTCAGGCAGCGGTAATAAAGTCATTTTGACCTTTAAATTGGGGAAAAATCATTTTTTAGCCACATCCGTGGCTTTTATTGGATCCAATGTTGTTAGATTCGATTTGGAAATAAAGTAATTCCGTGCTTCGGCCAATTCGGAGGAAGATTTCGGATTTTTTTAAATTTAATATAAATAGAAATTAAATATACATTTATATAAACAAACACATTAAAATAATAAGCAAAATCAAAATAAAAAAATCAAAAACTAAAACATAAAGATAATAAATACATTCAATTTATTTTATGCTGTGAGGATGTACGTGAGGATGTACATGACGAAGAGGTGGCTTGGTAAAAATTTATTTTCTTTTAATAAAAGTAAAAGAGGACAGTAGTCGAATTTTATAAAGATGAGAGATGGGGCAAGGTGCTATTCGGAATGACAAATTGAGAGGGATCGGGTCATGTGGGGCGAGGTGGTACTTGGTGTACGTTGAAATTATAGCTGCTATTCGCTTCGCTTCGGTGATAGGAGGAAATCCGAAGACTTCGGTTGCTTCATCCGAGCGAAGCGAATATAACAACATTGATTGGAGCGATTGAATCAAAAAAAATATTTTGGGCAGAAATTTTATTTGTTGAAGTTCTTCGATTTGTCCATTTGTTGATGCGTGATTTTTTATTTATATCTTGTGGATGTTGATTTGATGCTTGGTTCTTCAATTTTTTTTGTTGAAGTTTTTCAAGACTTGATAAATGATGATGATTGTATTGACTCTTCTTGAGCTTGGCTTTTAAACTCTTTAATCTTCATGGACTTTTAGTTTGTAGTATTTTGTAATTTTAAAGTTTGTGGTTGCAGATTTGTGCTTATGGTAATTGATTATTGAATGTTTTATGAAGCTACTAGTTTCAAGTTTCTAGTTTCTATCAAGGGATAGTGGATACAGAATCTTCGACAGCAAATGCTTTTTGGAGTTAATGAATAAATTAAATATTTATTATCACATATATCACCTCCCTATTTTTTCTTTGCATTAATCTATATTTTTAGATTTTTTAAGATTTATTTTATATTTATTGAACGCATCACGATGATGCACCCGCATCAGGGCCGCATCGAGCTGCATCAGCCCCCAGCTCTTTTGGCTGCATTCTTTATTTTAAAACACTCGTCTTGGACTCTGTTTTTGTCCTTTTTTCTGGTGGATACATAAATAATCTTTGGCTGTCAAAGGTTCAGCTAGAAAACGGAGTTCATATTTTTTTGATGCATTTTTTATATAGTTTGCAATTCTTTATGTAGTTCAAAGGTCTCTCTCTCCCTCCCTTCCATTGCACATGTGCATGTACTCATTTGGTATGAGTTTGCAATTCTTTTGTATGCCACCTTATACTTGTGAACTTTTGATATCAGACTTGCAGCACCGAAGCTTACCAAAGGTGGCTCACGAATGAGATCGCATTAAGAAGGTTTTTTGGTATTGAAACTGCACATTTTGTATATTTCATGTATAGTTTTCATATCCTGAACAGTGAATGGGATGCTTTCTCTTAGTCTAAACTCTAAACCCATACCATCCCAATGGATGGTCCATATCAGGTTTTGTTGTGTGTAAGACCGGGACCATTTAGATGTTAAGCTTTATCAAATAGCTGACGTTGATGGCAAGCATTGCCCCAATAGATGGCTGATCCTTTATCCAGAGATATGTTGAATTGCTTAATGGATTCTTATTTTTGTTGTATTACATACATCATTTGTGATATATGAGAGAACACATGTGTTTATGCCTTAAATGGTTGTAAGAGATCAACATTACTATGTGAATGTTCATCATACTACAGTTAATCACCACTGTCCATTTAGGGAAATGGAGTTGGATGATCTGTTGTATCATAAATCATACACTATAGGTGTATAGTATACTTTCCTTTTTCCTTGATCAGTAGATGTTTTTCCTGTTTCTTGAAAGCAATTACTCTGCAATTAAGTAGAAGGGTTTGTTCTGTGGGCCTTTGGACCTGTAGACATGAGGGTGCATCCCTAGTGTGAGGGAACATCCAAGTAGACCAGACTCCTTTCATGTTTGACTTACAACATGAAGGGAGGTGGGGAAATGTTACACATCTTCATGGGGTTACACCTCTTCATGAGAGGGCACGTTCTCTCATTATAAAATGGGGAGGGGTGGAGGTCTCCACATATACTACAACACACACAAGAAAGGTGTGAGAGCTCCTCTTGAGAGACAGAAAAAAAGTGTGAGAGAGAGTATAATCCGCTTTCCATTTGAGATCTAAGTAGAGATCCAGCCCTAAGTGATAAAGAGTTGTGTGTGGAATTGATTTCGGCAACTCTAGCAGTTGTCAAATGTGCCTACGTGAGTTGATCATTTATCTCCACATTTGTTTACCAAATTGTTGTGCGAGCGCTCAGGTATGATATCCGATTTTTGGTTATTTTATTTTTCAATATTCGTATCAGAGCCATCGTGAAGTCGGGTTTCCGATTGTGCTTGCATAACCATTCCCACTTTAGTCGTGAAGGCTTGGCTGTGGTTGGCCTATGATGTTGCAAAGTGTACATAATGGTTGTATTAAAACCATAAGCATGTGCACTATGCAATCTTCATAGTCGTATTCGCTTTATGCATGGGTTATGCAAGTTGGGGCATCATGGCTAACTAATCTTGATAGGCCTCATATGCTAAGCTGTGTGGGTTTTACTCTTTTTTTTTATATGTCAAGGCCACATAAAAAGGGTATTTTATTTTTTATTTTTTGTAGGAGTGCTTATAGAAATGTGTACCGCTTGCAAATTGTGAGTTATTTGAGATACTAGATCCAAGAAAGAAATTTGGTATTGATTAAAAGCAAGAGTTCAATGTGGCCACATGAAATTTTCATATCAAGAATTTTAAATGTCAAGTTTTTTCAAGTAGCAAGACAATTAGCAAACGTAAAAATGATAATCTAAGTGCCATCATGTACCAAACAAACCATGTGATATCCATATTAATTGGTGCAATTTTGTTGTTTAGACTTAGAATGACTTCTAAAAATATGATTGCGGATCTCACTAAAGGTGAAAAGTTGAATGGAAATAATTTTCCTATGTGGCATAGGAAAATGCAATACCTTCTAAATGAGCAATGTACACTTGAACACCTAACTACCATTAAGCTAAAACCTTAACAAGGTGCCACTGAAGAACTTGTCCGTGAATATGAGGCATGGGACAATGTTGACCGTACCACTCGCTTGACTTTGCTAAGTGCCATGGTTGATGACCTCATTCGTGAATTCGAGGGATTCACCACGGCAAAGGCTATGTGAGATGCACTTCAGCAGAAGTATGCTGGCACTTTCCTTGCTCGATTACGAGCCTTATCTATGGCTTTTGAGATACACAAAATGCCTCCAAATGTGTCGATGGCGAACCATGTCTGAAAAATGTCTCAAATGATACATAACCTAGAGGCAGCTGGAAACAAACTCAGTCACGAGCAATAGATGCTCAAATTGCTTAGGTCTCTTCTAGAATCTTAGAAAAACATAAAGTCATTGATGTTGCATAATGTGAAGTTGTAACAACTTTTTCCCAAGTTTCTCATCACCTTGAGATAGAGGCTAA